TATATATATATAAACAATTAATTAATTAATTAATTAATTAATTAATTAAATATAATTACCTGTATAATAAGGTTTATAACTAAATTTATTATTATTATTAATTAATAATTAATAAACAGATAAACAAATAAATAAATAAATAAATAAATAAATAAATAAATAAATAAATATAATTACCTGTATAATAAGGTTTATAAGTAAATTTATTAATATTATTATTAATAAATTTTTCTTTTTCTCTTTCTCTTCCTATCCAAGATAATTGTATATCTATTTGGGGTGTATGTACACCTGGTAACCAACATTCACATATTATTCCTCCTCCTCTTTCTTCCTCTAATTCTTGCTGCTTATGTATATATTCATCTTCTTCTTGTTGCTGTTGTTGCTGCTGCTGCTGCTGCTCCTGCTGCTCCTGCTGCTGCTCCTGCTGCTCCTGCTGCTGGTGGTGGTGATCTTGTTGTTGTTGTTTCTCCTGTTGTTCTTTTTCTTGTTCTTGCTGCTGCTGCTGCTGCTGTTGCTGCTGCTGCTGCTGCTGCTGCTGCTGCTGCTGCTGCCTGGGTATATTGAAGGGTAGAGGACGACGTATAGGTCCTGATTCAGCAGTAGTTGCTGTATCTCTTGCTGCTGCTTCTGCTGCTGCTGCTGCTGCATCTAGTGCTGCTGCTGCTGATTCATAGTAAGCAGCAGCACCAACACGTTGCAGGTGTACATCAAAGTCATAGAAATAGCTAAGAGGGCCGAGTAGGCCTCCTGGCTGCTGCTGCTGCTGCTGCTGCTGCTGCTGCTGCTGCTGCTGCTGCTGCTGCTGCCTCTGCTGCAGCTCCTCCTTCGTAAGGGTTGGCTTAATCCAATGATAAATTGTTACACGCCCGAAGTCTCTTATGTCCTCAGGTACAGCAATACCTGTCCTCCTAGCTGCATGCAGCCTGCTGCTGCTGCTGCTGCTGCTGCTGCTGTTGGTGCTGCTGCTGCTGCGTCTGCTGCTGCTGTCGGTGCTGCTGCTGCAGTTAAGGGGGATTATTCTACTGCTAGATCTTTGCTGTATTCTACCCACAAATGCAGGGGCCCATGTACCTCTTCCTGCTGCTGCATTTGTTGCACCCGCTGCTGCTGTTGCTGCTGCTGCAGCAGTAGCAGCAGCAGCAACCCCATTGGGGGAGTTACTATAGCTGCTGCTGCAGCAACCAGCGGGTTGCCTCAGACCTGATTGCTGCTGCGATTGTCTAAGGAGAGATGCGCCTCTATCGAGGGGCCCCCCTCCAACAAGGGGGCCCCTAGCAAGAGCCTCATCCCCCACAATTGCCAGCAGCAGCAGGACTAAGCACAAGACAGCCATACAGGATACAGGGGTGGGGCCCCCAGGGGCCCCTTACTTGCTTTGGGTTTTGTGGGGGCCCCCCAAGTGGCCCTAGTTGCCTCGTGTTCTGCTGCTAGCGTTGCGTTCTGCTAGAGGGGGGCCCCCAGGGGCCCCCTTGTTGGCGCGTATTCTGCTGCTGAGAAAGAAAGGGGGCCCCCGTCATAAAGACTTAATGTTAATTAAAAAGAAATACCATTAATACTTAAAGACAGCTGCAGATACACCGCAGCAGCAGCTGCTGCTTGGGTATACAAGAAAGGAAATGGGTATATAGGCAAATAAGGCAGGCAGTTAATATGCTGTTTCTTCCTCCTATAGAGGTAAAAATAAAGAAAAAAGAAAGAAATAAACAATAAAATATTATTAATAAATAAAATATAATATGATGGAGGTATTAAGGAACAAAGAAATACCTCTACTATAATAACCGTGGCAACAGACAACTATACCATGGGGGGCCCCCCCGCCTTATTATAGATATTGTGTTTGTGTATGAATTAGGATAAAAAAAGGAAATTAAATAGATAAAAAGAATAAAATAAGAATAAATAATAAATAAATATAATAAATAAATAAATAAATTAATTAATTAATTATATATAACGTGCTCCCGATGGGGCTCGAACCCATGACCTTCGGTTCATAAGACCAACGCTCTAACCAACTGAGCCACGGGAGCTGATAATTTTCTTTTTTCTTTTTTTTTTTTTTATGCAAAAAAAAAAGAAATAGTAAATAATTTTTTTCTTCTTTCTTCTCCTTTTTCTATTTATTTATTATTATATACATTATATTCATTTATTAACAACTATTTATTACCTTTTTATTCATCTATTCATCCCTAATAACTCCCCACAACTCTTGCTCCTATCCTCATGCATATATAACACAAGCTAGCAACTAGCTAACTAACTAGCTAACTAGCTAGACAGCTAGCTAGCTAGCTAGCTAGCCATCTGGGTACCTGTCTAATTAACTAGACAGCTGACTGTAAATCGATCCATCTGCTAGTTCGGCTGCCTCTCGTATAACACCACCATGCAACCTCCTACCTGCCTGCTCACGGTGAAGCAGCAGCAGCAGCAGCAGCAGCAGCAGCAGCAGCATAATATACGGAGCAGCAGCTGCCATGTCCAACAATGAGAGCAGCAAGAGGAGACAGAGATGTCTCTTCTCCTCCTCTAAACCCTCAGCCTAATGTTCTCTCTCTAATCCTCCTAAACCCTAAACCCTAAACCCTAAACCCTAAACCCTAGCCAGCTTCTTTCTATAAGCTCCCCATATATCTGTGTAGTGTGTATAGGGCCTCTTACTGTGTAGGAGGTGTATGTACACCCCAACAGCTCAATAGATGTGCGTATGCTGCAGTGTATATTGAATGCATATTATAACTTTATCTCCATTGAGTTGTGCATACACCATGAGGTGTATGTACACCTCAGTGCAACTATTAGGCAAAACCCTCAGGATGTGTGTGCGCGTGTGTGTGTATGGCTGGAGGTGTCTGTACACCCCAACAGCTAATCTACCCTGCCTATGGTTCCTTATCTGCTTCTATTGAGCCATCACAACAGCAGCAGCAGCAATATTCAATAGCAGCAGCAGCAGCGGCAGCACGTGGGGAGAGCCAATCAAGCCGTGATCTGTGTCCCCGGTCGCTTGGGGTGTCACTGCAGCTGCTGGGGTGTCACTGCAGCTCTTGGGGTGTCTATGCAGCTATCTATTTGTCAATAGATAGATTGGGGTGTAACTGCAGCACAAATATTGCTGCTGCTGCTGATGGAGTGTCACTGCACCTCCTGCGGTGTCACTGCAGCTGCTGCTGGTGTGTCACTGCAGCAGCAGCTGTGTCCCTGCAGCACATAGGGTGCAGATGTATCTAATCCAATGAATATATATTATAAAAATAAAGGAAATCAGAAAGAAAAAAAGAAGAAGAAGAGGATAGAGGTGCCTATACACCCCACGGTCCACTGGCTGCATCGAAACTCGGCATCGAAGCCCCTTTATAGGCGTATAGATGACAGCAGCAGCAGCAATTGGGGTGTATGCGCAGCAGCAGCAGACAAAAATAAAAGGAAAAATAAAAAGAAAAACAATATAAAAGACTAAGAAGAATATTCTATTGAATAATATAGCTCCTGATGCCCAACTGCTGCTCCTACTGCTGCAGCTGCTGCTGCAGCTGCTGCTGCAGCTGCTGCTGCTGGTCTGCGGAGCAGCAGCAGCAGCAGCTGGTTCGTGCTGCTGCTGCTGCTGCTGCATGGCTGTGTTATGCCATAAAAGGGGAGAGTTGGCTGTATTTGCCGTTTGTTTTTCTTATAAATTAAACTCCTTTTTCCTTCTTTTCCTTCAAAGGAGTGCACCTGTGTGCTGCTGCAGCGCAACGGACGCCTGCTGCTGCTGCTGCTGCTGTTGCTGCTGCTGCTCTTGCTGCTGGTGCTCACGCCTCCAGCGCAGCTACCGCCACACGACCTCTATCTTTACAGCAGCAGCAGCAGCAACAAAGGGATCTTACAACACCCTTAGTAGCTGCAGCAGGAGCGCGTAGCGTCTACTTGCTGCAGCAGCAGCAGCAACCGCAGCCGACTGCAGCAGCAGCAACACCAGCAGCAGCAGCGCTAGAGTAACAGCAGCTGCAGCAGCAATAGAAGCTAAATCACCGGCAATAACAAGTTGCCGTTTTATTGCAACACTAGAGCAGGCAGACTGGCTCGCCTAAACCCTAAACCCTAAACCCTAAACACTAAACCCTAAACCCTAAACCCTAAACCCTAAATTCAATGATGTGCACAATGGCGGGAGACCTGATCGTCGGCAGCAGCCGCTAGACGGTGTTGTTGGCATGATAGGCATAGATTCACTGCCTTGCAGCAGCAGCAGCAACACCAGCAGCAGCAGCAGCAGCAGTACTAGAAACGGCAACAGCAGCAAGTGTTGCACATTAGGAAAGACAGCAGATCTATCTGCATAGATAAGGCAGCTGTAGCAAACGCAGCAGCAGCAAAGGCAGCAGCAGCAAAGGCAGCAGCAGCAAAGGCAGCAGCAACAAAGGCAGCAGAGGCAGCAGCACGATTGGTAGTGGTAGCAGCAGCAACGACTGCATATAGCGGCGCCGTGTGTATTGTTCTGCAGCAGCAGCAGCAGCGCTCCCAGCAGCAGCAGCAGCAGCAGCAGGAACTGCAGCAGCAAGAATAGCACACCTGTTATACTGTCGCCGCGTCAGCAGCATATACAGCAACTGCAGCGGTCACTAGACCCAGCGAACCAACTGCAACAGCAACAGCAACAGCAGCAGCAGCAGCAGCAGCAAAAAGCAGCAGCAGCAGCAGCAGCATTAGGGTTAGATATCTTCATTGTTTTGTATAATCTGGGGTGTATGTACAGCTGTTGTTGTCTGTCATGAGGGGGTGTCTTGTGTTATTTATTTCCTTACGGTGTATAAGGGAGAAGTGCTTCATAGAAGCAAGAAAAGGGGGAATAAATAAGTATTAAGATGGCGTGGCAGCAGCAGCAGCAGCAGCAACAACAGCAGCAGCAGCAGCAACAACAGCAGCAGCAGCAGCAACAGCAGCAGCAGCAGCAGCAGCAGCAGCAACCATTTTTTCACGTTAGGACGGAGCTGCCACTCGTTACAGGTGCAACGCAATGGGTGTCAATCGAGTTCGATGAGCCACCGGGCTTCGACTCCCATCGTGGGATCGTCGATCCCACGCTTAGGATCGTCGATCCCAGTCATGGGATCGTCGATCCCGGTGTTGGGATCGTCGATCCCAGACCTGGAAATATCGATCCCAATACTGGGATCGTCGATCCCAATACTGGGATCGTCGATCCCAACGATCCTGATGCTTATGGACCCCCATTCCTCTGCTGCTGGGAAAAAGAAGACTCTCCTCTCCCTCTCTTCTCTATTCCCCTAAAGGGAGCAAGAGTTGTTAATAATATTACTGAATTGGGGTAAGCAAGAAAAAAAGGAGACAAAAAGGAGACACTAAATATAATATATTATATATATTAATAGATAGATAAGGAGACACAAGGAGACAATATAATATAATATAAATAGGTAGATAGACACAAGGAGACACTAAATATAATATAAATAGTACTATATACACAGACACAAGGAGACAATTAATATAATATTATATAATATAATATAAATAGATAGATAGACAAAAGGAGACACTTATTATAATATAAATAGATAAGGAGACACAAGGAGACAGATAATATAATATAAATAATAATATAAATAGATAAGGAGACAAAAGGAGACAGTTAATATAGGTAGTAGTAAGGAGACACAAAAAGGCAGTATAATTAGTATAATAAATAAATAAATAAATAAATAAATAAATAGACAAGGAGAGACAATATAGATAATATAAATAAATATGGATAGGAAGGAGACAAAAGGAGACAGTAGATAACAATATAATAAAGGAGACAAAGAGAGACAAGAGAGACACACAATAAACAAATAAAGTAACGAGACAGAGAGAGAGAAAGAAAGAAAAAAAGAGAAAAAAGACAACAAATACAAATAAATAATAATAATAATAATAATAATAATAATAATAATAATAATAATAATAATAATAATAATAATAATAATATAAATAAATAAATAAATAAATAAAGGGAGAAAAGAAGAGAAAAAGAGACATATAAATATATATAAATATAGGTAGATAGATAAATAAAAGAGACAGAATAAATAAAGGAGACACATAAGGGAAGGAGACACATAAGAAGGAGACACATAAGAAAGAAAGAGAGAGAGACAGATAGAGGAGGGACAGAGACAAATAAATAAATAAATAAATAAATAAATAAATAAATAAATAAGACACAAAGAAATAAATAAATAAAAAGACAAAGACACAGAGAAGACGAAGACACAGACACATAAAAAGATAAATAAAGAGACAAAGACACATACTGTCTCCTGTTGCTGCTGCTGTTGCTGCTGCTGTTGCTGGTGCTGTTGCTGCTGCTATTTTCCCTAGTTGTTATTGTTGTGTTTTATTTGCTGCTTAGTGCATGCGCATAAAAAACAACTAGGAACAAATCTAAACTAATTCGCTTCTTTCCTGTGTGTCTGCTGCTGTGTCTACTGCTGCTGCTACTGTTGTTGCTGCTGCTGTTGCTGCTGCTCTCTCTGCCATCTCTCCCTCTCCTTGTATACACCTTTATACCTTCTTCTCTTCCTCAACAACAACAACTACTTCTCCCTCTCCCTCTGTCTCTGTTCCTGCAACTAACCCTTACATACCCATGTGTCCTGCTACTCTTGTTACTACTGTTGTTGCACTTGCTGCTGCACTTACTGCTGCTGCTGCTGCACTTGCTGCTGCTGCTGCTGCTGCTGCTGCAGTCCTTGCTTATATATAATATCAAGAAATGGTGAATTTGAATTTCAATGCTTTTCACGTGAAAATTTCGAAAATTGGAAATTTTCATTAAGTCGTCTTGGAGTTAAATTCCTTAAATTCACGGATTTATACAGACTTATTGAATTTATTGGTAAGAATATTTTTTTTTTTTTTTTTTTTTTTTTTTTTTTTTTTTTTTTTTTTTAA